AACCTTGAAGGGTGAATATCCTTCCGTGATTCCCGAGCTAATAGTTTAACCGCCAAAATTTCCACGAGGCCGTAGGTGATGCTCAAGAGCGCGGGAACGCTGAATATGAAAAGGCAAGGTCGAGCGTGGGCAGGTGGTCACTACCTCAAAATTTCAGCTTCCTAGACTTCGTGGTTCCCGAGATACTAACTTACCCGTAAAAAACTTTCGCGGTGCCGTACGTGTTACCCGCGGATACAGGAAGGCTGAATTTAAATTTGCCACGTCACTCGCTGTCGGGGAACATTATACCGAAATTCCAGCCGCCTAACTTTTGTGATTGCCCAGTCAAAAGTGCGGGACAAAATGTGGGACACACACACGCACACACACACACACGCACACACACACAAACACACACACACACAAACAACCCGTGACAATATGCGTTTTGTACTGCTGTTACACAGCACAAAACGCATAAAAACGCATATTGACGAGGGGTTGTCTGTGCGCGTGTGTGTGTGTATGTCTTTGTGTGTCCCTGTGTGTTCGTCTGTACCGATTTTTCATCTCGAGACCGGCAAAAGCTACAGGGCTGAAACTTTGCGTAATCTACATGCACGTACGAGCCCCCATCCCCAAAATTGGCGCCAAAACCCGCGTGGTACCCGCGAGCACGTTCGAGCCCCCATCCCCAAAATTGGCGCCAAAACCCGCGTGGTACCCGCGTACGGGCCCCCGCACGTACAGGTCCCCATCTCCGAAATAGGCGGTTTTACCCGCGTGGTACCTGAGTAAGGGCGCGCCAAAATTTTCCTCGGGCAAGTTGGTAACTCGCGAATCAGAAAAGCTACAAGGCTGAAATTCCCCCCCATCCAAGTAGGTATTAACGAGCTGAAACCCAGCCTGCGGTTACTCGTGGCGCCCGCTTACGAGCTAGCCAGATTTTTTCCGGGCAAGTTGTTAACTTGCGAGCCAGAAAAGCTAGAAAGCTGAAATTTTAAGCGGATGTTCCCCGTCCAAGTAGGTATTAATGAGCTCAAACCCAGCCCCCGGGTAAGCGTAGTACCCGCGCAGGGGTTCGCCAAATTTTTCTCACGAACCAGAAAAGCTAGAAAGCTGACATCTTAAGAGGATGTTCCCCGCCCACATTAGTCTTAACGAGCTCAAACATAGCCCTCGGTCATGCATGGCACCCACGCACGGGTTCACCAAAGTTTTCCTCCGGTAAGTTCAGGGCCTGAAAAACTACAAGATTGTAGTTTTACGATGTCCCCCATCCGAGTAAGTCTCAACGAACTCAAATCCAGATATCGGGCATGCGTGGTATCCGCGTGCGGGCCCGTGGAAGTTTTCTTCCAGTAAGTTGCTAACTCAGGAGCCAGGAAAACTAGACAGCTGAAATTTTAAGGGGGTGTTCCTGCCAGTTCTGGCGGTCAGTCTTAATTTGTTTAGCTAGAAACATTTGCCGAAAAAATCAATGCCGATAGCGGCACAAACTGCACGGAACTATGCAAAAAACACATCTTCGCACCGGCATCCCGTGCGTTGGCCTTTATTTCACATATGGAGGGATGAAGGAAGAAAAGCAATTTCGTTGATCCAAGTGATTATGAACTAAACAGATAGTCGAACCTCGAGGTATGCTAAAGTTTTGAGCTGGAATTTCAAATCATGCGTCTTAGAAAAGACGAGAGGGCCATTTTTGACGATAAATGAAGGCAGTACAAATGTAACGAAGAAAA